TAGAGAACCTCATTTCAGTGCCACTTAAATATAAATATTTTCCCTCTGGTGCTCCGAAACGGACATATAAAGCGACACCACTATTCACCGCAGTGCTAACTGTAGCGTCCCTCAGTGAAAGACTACGAGACGACGGCCGGCCTCGCTCGGTCTTTAGTAATGCTGCAACAACGCCGCAGCGTACGCCAAATAAAACAAACCTGGCTCGACAGGGTTAACTTCTCTTGCTCTTCACTCTCTATGTCCTGAGGATAACACGCACATGCACTCGCCCAGACCACCGCGTGAAAAGCCTTAGAGGGTGGAGAGAGTGTGTGTGTGTGTGTGACAGCTGTGACGTTTACATCAGGTCGATCCGCCGGGACTGAACCCGCCTCCAAACGAATTGTGATCGCCTGCAGATACCAATAATTCCTCCATCAATACCTCAGCATCCCGGAGGCCCAGTCCCGCCCACATTCCTCCTTCTATTCATGAGTCAATCAGTCAATCAATCCATCCATCCGTCCTTCTGTCCATCTACACATCCATCTTCTCCAGTAAGTCTGTGTCCTCACCAGACTTCATTCACTTTTTTGCAGTTTTAGTTTAGCCTCAGTCTAAAAACAGCAGCACGAAGAGAAAACAAGCCGGCGGCTGTAAACAACACATCAGCTTTATGAGCTGTGGAGCTCGGGGGAGGCAGAAACCAGGACAGACATGCAGACAGATGGAGACAGACGAGAGGGAGAAAGAGAGGAGAGATGGTAGTAAAGTTACGGACTCAGAGGGAGGAGAGAAGAGATGCAGTTTTCTAGTCAAATGAGGACAAAGTGGACATCGGGGGGGGGGGCTCTTTATGATTGATTCAGGAGGAGGGATGTGTGCAGGCAGGAGACACAGACTGCACCTCTGGGGGAGAGAGAGAGGTATTGATCAAGTGATTATTAGTAGCAGAACTCGTCTAGAGGGGGAGTCAAATCGTGGCAGAGCGACCGGAAGATCTGAAAGTCCAGAAGCTCAGCTGCAGAAGTCCACATAAATCTGGGTTAATGCTAGAGCTCATCACTCATCAATTAGCGTTTGTCTAAAAATCACGCTTGTGTTTACTGACTTGGTGCTGATGTTGTACATTAAAACTATTTTAAAGACCGACCGGACTTTTTCAGTCCCGAGAATACTGCTTTGGATCGATGCGGAGTACTGATCCAATACCAGTGTAAAATGAATAAAGCTGTATTCCTCACTGTGAGGAAGAGACTGGGAAAACTTGGTAAAACTTAATGCTATGCGTAATTGTACAGATCGGGCCCCTTGTCACAGATACCCGATGCAGATATTTCAGTTCTAATCGGGCCAATTAAAACTCTGGCAAACTGCTTCCTGGTTAAAAATTCATCCAGTTGTTTTTAGGCCAGAGCTCGACAGTAACGGGGGCCCGATGGCCCGGGGCCAGTAAAAAGTAATGTCTAAAGTAGTAACTCGCTGATCTGATCGGGCCGGTGCAAAAACATTAGTGTTTAAAACAAATAAATTAGAAACTCAACATCCTGCAGTTGCTTTGCAGCTCGTGGTGCACCGTTGTCCAATCCAGATCTGCAGTTATGCAACGAGTGGCTGTCAAATTATTATTTCTCTAATCTCAATCAAGCGGCAGCCTCTGGGTCTGAAAGAGAAACCATGCAGAGGGAACTGAAACCTGCATCCTCTCTAACGGTCAGCAGGGGGCGACTCCGCTGGCTGCAGAAAGAACTCCGGCTCCGTTAGAAAGAAAATGTTTCTACTTGTCAGCTGATTTATTCCCTCAGTAAACACTTTCCTGATGAGTTTCTGGTCTCAGTCGCTAGTTTCAAGTCTTCTTCAACACAGCATGATGTTCATTTAGTAAATTATGGTCCCATTTAGAGGAACAGAGACCAGGAAGCAGGGGAGGCTTTAGGGCGGGGCTACAAGCTGACTGACCGGTTGCTACCATGGCGACTTGTGTCAGGAGAGAGAGCACGTCATGTTTGACTGATTGTTTTGTTTTTATAATTTTAACGGATCACATTTTAGTTTAGTTTTTTTATATCCAGGATGTATTTAATAAATGATTAAACATGTTAACAGTATAACATAACTTATAAGTCTTTGTGTTGTAACACTGATAAATAACTGTTGGAGGAAGGGCCAGGACCATGACTGGTCAGGTATGATTAAGCGTGCAGCACATGACATCATAAGTGGAGATAGCGTGGGTGCACTGGGGCGGCCGACCCAGGGCCCCGGGTAGGTAGGGGCCCCGCTACGTGGGCCGCCAATGTGTTGTCAATTGCTTGCAGACACGACCGCACAAAAGAATTGCACGCAGGTAACAACCACCGCTGAAGATAACGGTGCAGCCATCTGGCTCCAGGCATTTCAGAATAAGAGCATTTTGCCTGCCTGATCTTACTGACACATTTAGATTTTGTTGATTGAGTGATGAGTGCTTGCTTTTTGACCTTCTTCTGTGATTAAGTAGGCTACGAAGTTTATTTTTTATCTGTTTAAACTGTGTTTATTGTTGATATACGAACAGGGTCTGCACAGGGCATTTTATTTTGAAAATGGCGATGTATTCTCTCCAGAGAGGAGCGGAGAGACGCTTCCGGTGCGAGCACAAGCATCGACTAGAGTGGCTGCGATCGGCTTCGGCAGCTGCGACGCAGACGGCCTCGGTGGACTTTCGGAGTAAATCCGGGGTCATGTAAACTTGGCAGCAGGTGGGCCCTGTGATGAAGCTCCGCCCCCAGTGTGCTGAGAGTCTAGCTCCGCCCCCGCATGACATGAAGTAGATTTATAACATTTTGTCTGTTTCGTTGTTAAACTTTTTATTTTCAACTTTACTGCCCTCTTTTTCAGTGAGCGATATCGTAATTTAGAATTGAGATTCATGTTTGATGACGTCATTTTCATCATGTCTCGTCTTTGTCGTGCGAACGAAACTTTGTTGATGAACACACTTTGTCAGAATCATCTGTGACAAATCTGATGACTTGTCTCTGACCTCCTGTCGGCGTGAAGCTCAGTCCGCTGCAGCTGAGTCTCTCTCTCTGGGTAAACAACCAGAATGTAAATGTGTGCTTTGTGTTTTTTAGCAGTGAGATGGGCAGTTTGGGGGATGAATGATGGGACAGGGGCATATGGAGGGTTGGTGCGAGCAGTTGGCACTGCCACCGAGGCACCGAGTGATCAATCATTCAGACAAACAGTGACACGCGCCTCGCTGCCAGGGCGTCAATAACAACATAAGTGTTCAGTAGAAGATGGAGGAGGACTCGTCTGGTGGAGGAGGAGGCCGGTGTTTGACTGAGACTCCTTCACACGTTCCCCCGAGTCTTATCTTAAGCTGACGGTTAACGGTACTATCGATTTTCATCAGTTCCTCGTCTTGTTGTTTTAGCAAGGACTCAAAAACATTTAGATTCATACTGAAAGAAAAGATCTGATTTTGTTCCTCTGCTCGTGTTGCTGCAGAATATAAAGTCCAACTAAGTTCAATTTGATTTGAATTAGGAGTAAAGTATATAACTGATTATTTTGACTGATTGCAATATGATTTACTATATTTGAGAGAATGATGAGTTTTCCTCAATTATTCACATTTTCATTTAAAAACAAACAAAAACCCATTCAGATGGGATTTTTACTGTAATCTGTACCAAACAGAGGGCTGGACGATGTGGCCCAAACTTATCTCACCATTAAAAGTTTCATATCTTTTGATATCTATAATTATCACGATAAGTATCAAATCTTTATTTCTTTCGAGTTTAAAGGCTGATTTTTGCTCCAAGGTGAAGCCACCTGATGGTTAATTGTGGTTTAAACTTTTCTTTTTACGGCCAGAACACTTGAGGCCAAACAGAGGATCTCTTCACAAATCTGAGGCAGAACATTCAAAACAAATATGATCAAATCTTTGTCAACAAAAATGCACGAGTAAAATTAAGCCAAACCTTTTTTTGGACCTTTTTCCTCAACACAACAAACATCTTAATAAAAAGTCCTAAGTCGTGTGTGTTTCAAGTGAATAAAATCAAACATTTATTGAATCAATAAACATTTGAACATTTGTTTTGTTAGTGAAAAAAATATCACGATAATTATTGTTATTGTTTTATTGTTCAGCTCTAATCAAACAACGACGTCTGGACAATCAGTCAGACTTTATTTGTATTGAGCCTTTTGTGCAAAACAATAATAAAAGTTGCTTGACATTGTGTTAGTAACCAAAATACAGCAATAGAGTCAAACTAAATAAAATTATAACATTTTATAAAGTAAAAACAAATAGAAATATTGAGATCAATAAAAAATAAATTAGGAAAATTATTAATTCATTTCTTTGAAAATAACTTTTTGACTCGTCCACAGCTCCTCTGGGAGGCTGCGACTCACTAACAGCCGGCCATATCTACATTTACACTTGTGGCAGACGCTTTTATCCGAAGCGACAGCACAAGATCGGACAATACGTACTAGTAAGAACTAATGGCATGTCATCGCATCAATAGGGTAAATAACTAGAGTTAACAAAAAGTGCAATCAATACAAGAGCATTGTAAGGGGAGAGAAGAAGAAGAGCACAGGAAGTGCGTGTTAGATTTCTAATTTTAAAATGGTATTTTGACACATTTCCCCATTAACAAATACTGCACCTCCTGCAATTTGAAGATTATAGTAGGCCATCCTGCCAATTTTGATAACATATCGATTAATTGTTCAGCCCTGATTTAAATCACTTTAAAAATCTGTTTCCTGGCAACAACATGTTTCAGACTTCAAGCACGAGACAGAAATAAACAAAAAGATCAGAATGGAAAATCAGACACGAACTTGTCAAAAAGAACCATAAGATCACGCCCTAGAAGCAACCTGAAGCGACAAAGTAAGAGCTGTCGAAACCTTTATAGAAATGAACAACAGACCAACACGTGCACACAAGTCAGTGAAGTTCTGCATAAATAAAAAGGAAATATCAGGGTGTTCGCACTCACCTCTGTCGAACTCATCTGGAATCTGAAAGATGAGAAAGAGGATTAAAATCAGGTCAATCAATCATCAGCGCTGACCGTGAACATCATCACATCAGGACCAATCAGCGCGCGTCATGTGAAACACAACAAATCAATCAGTTTGCCATAGATGGTTAAACAGACACGTGGTTCTGAAGCTGGCGGTCAGTGGGAGTGTTAGAGCAGAAGGAGGAGGAGCAGAAGAAGCAGAAGAAGAAACGGAGGAGGAGGAAGAGAAGAACAGATGATGCAGGAATGACAGAAGGAAAAGACAGATGAAGCGCTGGTGGAGACTCTGACCCACAGCGTGCAGCGCCGGTGAAGGGCTCCACCTGGTGGCCATGAAGCAGACTTTGTATTTACAACAGCAGGTTTGTGGCCTCGGTTAAAGGCCAAACAAACCTACCAAAGTGTTTTCACTTCTCTTGCCTGGCCAGACCTCTTGCGAGGGCTTAGAGGACGTTTGCAGACCGTTTGATTGATGCACATAAATTAGTGAAACAAGACAAAGACAAACACAACAAAACATACATTAAGCACATACAAGGCAACTTAGCCAGTGTAACTGAAAGCACCGTGTGGGCCTGAAGAGCCTTAAACAAATACTCAACATTAACCGTTTGGTGGCCATTTCTGTACCTGAAATAAAACTTTTTTTAGAATTCAAAAAATATGAAAGATATTCTGACATATTAACACACGTAGCTATCAGGATCAGCTTTATTTCAAAGTAGTGTTTTGAGGTGCTACACGCAGACAGACCGAGCTGTTCACCCTCAGACAGCACTTTTCAGGAAAAAGAAGCACAGTCCTGAGGTTAAAATGCAGGAGAAGTCCCTGAAAAAGTTAAAAAGCTCCAGCACGTGACTCATTTAAACCCTCAGTTCTCGGCGGCTGTAAAGCCGATGAGGGAGAACAGTGAGGAAGACGGAGAAGGATCAAGCTGCGAGAGCGCTGAACGAACCTCCTCTCATGAAAACTGGCAGCGCATTGACAATACGTCATTAGAAGGGAAGCAGACGCTGACGCGCGGGGGAGAAGCGACGTCAGGGGCGGAGAGGTGTGAAAGAGGCCGTTAAACCTCATCAACACCTCGGTACGACTGCAGAGCTGCAGCCTGGGAGAGCAGGAGGGGGACGGGTTCCCACACAGTCTGACCAGGAAATAAAACCCAAACCAGTTCAACACAGGCGATTCCACCATATGGGATTTACCACGGGACAATCATCTGGGGCACAACAGCAACACTTTCAGACATAAAATGAACACCACCACACGCGCACGATCCGACCCTCACATAAAACACACACTGTGCGGCGGCAGCAGCTCGGAGGCCGGCACACTTTGTCACACCAAGTGTGCACTTTGAAAAAGAAAGGAAGGAGCGCAAAAGTTCAGTTCTGACACGTGTAGCGTCCACTGAAGGACAGGAAGAAAAGGAAGGTGAGATAAGCGTGCAGTCTCAACAGAACCTCCCACAAAGAGCAGTAAAAGAAGCAGCTACCATGATACAAGACTACAAATTCAACAGGAGCATCATCTGCCAAATCATTCCAGAAAAATATATCATCATAACAAGCCAAGGTAAAATAACTACATGCAGATCTTCAATAAAAGCATCCAGCGATGTCTGAACATCTTTGTGCTGTTATCACGAGATCAGGTCACATCATTCGATATCGATGATTATCACGATAAATGTCGAATCATTATTTCTTTCCAGTTTAAAGGCTGCTTTCTGCTCCCGAGTGAAAGTTTGCTTTTAAACTTTTCTTCATGGTCAGAACAAACACTTGATCACTTCATCTATCTGAGGCAGAACATTCAAGTGTTTTCAACAAATATGCACGAGTAAAATTAAGTTAAATGTTTCAGTCCCTTTTCCTCAATATAAATAAATATCTGTAGTATGTAACAACGAATTAAATCAAACACTTTTTGAACATTTGTTTATTGTTCTATACTGTGAAAATCATCATTACTGTTTAATTGTCCAGTCCTACTTTGTACCCAGAATCCCTCAGGGTTAGCAGCTGCGTCTAAACTATTAGAAAGCGTAAAATGTTAAATGTTTTGTCTTTGCCGACGTGTTTAGGCCCAGTCTGATCTGGTTAAACTCTCGTTTCCCTCAGTTTAATCTGCTGGCTGTTTCATTGGTTTAAGCAGACAATCCCATCTGTTCATTTATAAAAAGTTTATGAAATACTTTTACTAGAACATGTACTATATTGTGATACCATACATATCAATATCACAATATATATAATAAAGTGAGATTGATATGTGACAGGATTTGTACATTTACAAAACATTTAGAGCTGCAACGATTAGTGAAGTAACTGATCGACAGATTTGGCTGCTTTTCCTCATCTCACGTTATTGTAAATTTCTTCTTTCGGGGGTTTTTGTTTTGAGTCACTGGCATTTTTCACTGCTGTTTTTTGATGCTTTCTCAACCAAGCAGTTAATTAATTGACAACATAATCATCAGATTAAACACATTTCTCCTATTTATTTATAAAAGGCATTTGGAAACAGAAATTCAAGTTGCAGGCGATCTGATGAAAAATCTTCTTACGGCATCGAGGCTGTACGGAGATCGCGGCCTTGCCTCAGATATCATGAAAGATGAGAGAAGTGTGTCCTCACTTCCTGTACCTTCACCTCACAGCCTCCTGAGAGAAGCTTGAACTCAGTAAGACGTGGGAGAAGTGTGCCTCCTCGCCTTTGAAGCGCTTCAGTCTGCCTGTTGGCTAGACAGGATACAGCCAGACGCTTTATAATGTGTGAGGACCAGGAAGGACAGTCCTGGTTCCCGCATCCTCAAAAGGCTTCAGAAGAGAACTCACCAACTACACAAATCTGATCCTGGTCCCACCATCACCATGAAACGGTTTCTTTTTTAAGCTTATTAAAATGATGGCGTTTTGGGAGTAGAATCCCAACATGCAGACACGCTGAAACGCAAACCTGACTTTCAAAAACAACCGGTTATGTGCTGTGATTGGCTGATGAGGGGGAAAAAAAGAAACCAAGGTTTGACCCGTGTCGGTCCGAATGGGGTATTATTGTTACGCAGGTGACCTCTGACCTCTGGGTAACAGTAGTAGGTTGAGTGAAAAGACACTCCCTGATTCATCTCAGTTTTCTGATCAGCTGATTGGTCAGTTTGTCTAAGCAGTGCACAGAAATGAAATCAATAAAAGAACAAACTTATTCTTCATCAGCTGTCAGTTTTCTGTACATTGACGAGAAGTGATTTTAGCGCTCTGTTGAGTTCAACAATCCTCCGTACTGTCACGCGAAGCCCAGCCAGGATCGAAACACTGAAAACCACAGCCAATATTTTTATCATTCATAAAGAGCAAGATATTAACTACGAAGAGAATTACCTAACAAAACATTTACATTTTGACCGCACAAGCCCAACCAAAATAAACATCTTAATAAAAATATAAGCCCCAACTCGTGTATGATTCAAGTGAATAAAATCAAACATCTATTGAACGCTGTTAAAGATGACGTTACTGGTGGCACTACGCAGTAATAATATCTGATGTCACACTGTGTTGATCTTTTTGAATGAACGTGGTCTCTCTCTATGAATTCAAACTTTATATCTGATCCGTCTTCTGCACAGCGTCACTGTCAGCATCCTCTCCGCGCTCCAGAGTTCCTGTCCGATGAATGATGACCTTTAGCACCTTTTACAGATTCACCTGCAAAAATTGCAGAGTGAAAGAAAAACATCGTATTTGGTCCGGAGCAAAGCAAGTGAACTACGGGGGATTTCCTGCTCTAAAATGCATCCTAAGCAAGCAACAAGGTCTTTCCACTTTCAGCAAGCTGTAACTTTATTACCGGAGCAGAAGCTGGACGCCATGCAGAGACCGCACACGCTCCTGTGAAGTGTTGTCTTTGAAGAGCTGGCACACGCCACACATCACAGCACTGCTGAGCAAATGTCCTCCGTGAGGACACGAAAGAGTCCGAGGAGGCGAGATAAGTGTGGCGCAGGACGGCCGCCACGCCGCCGCGAGAAGTGTGTCGTCTGCTGGGGGCAGGATGTTCCTCGTGACAGGATGTGCAGGTGAGATAAGTGTGCTCTTTGAAGGAAGCAATCCTCCCCGACTGTAAGGAAGTGAACGGAGCGGAGACATCGACAGTTCACCGTTCCCACGTCCACACCTCGTCAGCGCCGGGTTCATTTGGCCCGAGTACAAATACGTCAGGGCTAAAGATTCATTTTGGTGACTCTTAAACCTGCAACTTTTAATTAGAATTATGAAACTGGACTTCGATCAGGTGACCTCATGATGGTTCATCACTCTGGATGTCAAACTACGGAACCATTTCACCTTCAAGAAAAGAAAATAGCAACAGAAATGAACCAGTTATTGTAATGCGTCTGCCTTTGTGCTGCAGGATGTCGACTAAAGATGATGCAAATCAGTTCTCGCTGAACGACTCTTCTTCTTTCTCGGGGCGACGGCTTCTTTGTGGCGACGACAAAGAGCGCTTAGCAGGAAGCCATCCTGAGACGTTTGGCTTTTTGTACTAACAAAAGGATCCTAATGTGAGAGAAGTGTGCCCTTTGAAGCGGCTCGTCTTCCCAGACCAACGCCTCCAACAGCAGATCCAGGCAGAGAGACGGGGACCACGGGACAGTCAGCTGTCATATAGGAGGCTGTTTGATGAAATGAGCGTCGTAGATCCAAGTTCTTGACTTCAGCTTCTTTAAGATGTCACAAAAAGCACTTTTCTGATTTTAGTAATCACTCTAGGTTGATTTTAAAACTAGAAAGATGTGATTAATATTATCTGATGCACAGGCCCCTGTTTTCAATCTCAGGTCAAATCAAAAGGTACGCTTGCAAGCTTTATGGAGCTTTCAAGGGCGGCAACGAACGCTTATTTTTATTATCGACTACATTTTTATGTTATTAAAATTTTCTTGATTAAAAGATTAGATGTGTTTGATCTATAAAATGTCAGAAAATGGTGATAAATGTTGTCAATGAGCTTTTTCCTCAGTGTTTCCTGCAGGATGTGCAGAGACTATGGTGGGGGGTCCGGGGCCCCGAGAGGCTCCGGTAAAGTAAATTACATGAGTCCGTTTACTTTTAATGGACACATGTAATATGTTTTATACTTTCTGTGAATATAATCCAGTTAATTATATTATTTCCATCCTGTACAGACGCCTTATTTTGAAAACCGGCCGTTGTCACATGTGTTTCCTCCTCGCGCTGAATCCATCCAGTCCGACCCGGTTTGATAAATAATGTTGTAACATGAGGACTTCACAGCCTCTCTTCATACTAAAGAGACAAAGTGACAGGATAAAGTCTCTAACCTGCCTGTCAGCTCGCTCTGGGCCGCTTCACTTACCGTAAAGGCTGGAATACGTGCGCACTCCAAATGTAGGTGCGGCTAGCTTAATCTCCTTCTCACAGACGAGAGACAGAAACACTCGGGTCTTTTCTAAGAAGTCAGCCACAGATGGAGCAGATGTGCTGGAGACAGTTCAGCAGAACAGCGTCTGCAAACGGCTCGGATTCTTTAAAATGCTTCCACACGTGTTCCACATGTGACAGATATGGACACATGTCGGCGTGATTGTTTGGTAAAATTTAAAAATCGGCCTTTTGATTCATTAAGCCGAATACCGAAAGTGGGTTTTTTTGTAATTTTGGTTGAACATTCGGTGCATCCCTAAAAGCAAAGAAACCAGGAAATATTCACCTTTCAGAAGCTGTAAACAGACATTGGACTTTCTTTCTTACTCAAAATGATGTTAAAACGATTAATTTAATAGTTATAACTAATCGATTACATGACGTGCAGCTTACTGTCAACCACCTTGAGATGTGGTCAAAAATCTACTTCCATGCTGAAACATTATGAATGTACAAATATTTAACGTTTGAATGGGCTGTCGGTTACAGATTGGGGCTAATTAAATTACTATAATTAAATAAGACAATAACACCACTGCAAGAAGAAGAAAACAGTACTTTGCTTCTTCTCTTCAGGCTTCGATTTCATTTGTTGGCTCCATATTTTGCTTCTGGCACCAGTTCAGAGGTCTGGGATCAAACCGGTGATCAGACTGATTAAATAATAATATAACGTCGCTGCTTATCTGAGCTATGAGACATCTGGTCAAACCTTAATGTCTTAGAAATGATATTTCATTAGACACAGTCCCTTTAGGTGGCACTGACTTGAGAGGACTGGAGGTGATCCGTGTGTGGAAGTGGGATAATTTGGGCTCTTTGATGTTCCTGACTTTCCCAAACTCTCAGCTCAGATGAACGTGACTTCTCAGCTACGTGCCGAGTGTGCTGCCCCGTGACTTACAGTGGAACCGTGAACAAAAGATGGAGAAGGTGAGATAAGTGTGCTCCTTCCTTTCCCGTACCGACACCTCTGACAGCTACCTCGCTCGTCTGTCCACGTTAACACTTCTGACGGACACAAGCCACAGCCGCCTGTGACGTGTGTCCCTTACAGCGTGCTATGCAACAGGAAGAGGCCCTCCCACCTGCGAGGTGAGCAAAACGCCACCGCACATCAAAAGGAAGCAATGGGAAAACAAGGGGGCTGACATTCGCAGCTACGTGCCGAAGTGTGCCGACACAAACCACCGTTCAGCTCGGCTCTGGTCGACGCGCACGTGAAGATCTCATTTGAGCCTGAACAGACGGGTGAATGAGTCTTCACTGTGTGGACACAAGCTTTTAAACCACAATCATCTTAAAACACAGGCACTGGCAGGCACTGTTGGTGATGTGTGCACAATCACACCTGGAGGAATTGTGTGTGTGTGTGGCATTAAAACTTACCACGTTTCCTTGTTCGTCCACTGAATTAGTGCCTAAAAACAGAAAGAAACAACTGTTTAATTTAAATAAGCTCCACGGGGGAAAGACAATACCTTCAACATCATAGAAAAATAATATAAAAGTTCACCCATCAGACCAATTATTATAGACTCTACAGCCTTAAGGGTGATGAATATTCATTATTTAGAATTTTACAATAAAAGAATGAGCCAAAACATCAGGGGCTTCTCTTGTTAAGTGAAGAAGAAAATGGTTTTGTAGAAAAACACGTTTACGTTTCCAGTAAATGCATCAACTAAAGTAGCGTCTGCGCTGTATCTCAGGTGTGGTATCGACACTAGGGGTGAATTTTTCCTAATGATACTAAGCCCGACTGAAGACCAGAGCTAAAACAATTAGTTGATGAATCGATTAGTCGATCAACAGAAAATTTATTTTGCTAATATTTTATAGTTGCACCTGAGGATTTTCTATAACTCTCCTGGTTTTGGACTGTTGGTCAAGTGAAGATGTCACAAAGGGCTTCCTGAGCGCTTGATGGGCATTTTTCACGATTAGAAACCCAGAAGGTATTGGAAGTGAACCAATCGTAGCGTGCTACTCCGCTTTGTCCAGCTCATGCGGTGTCACTGCCACAAAGGAGAGACCGGAGCTGAGGATTCTCCCGTGACTAATGAATCCACTTAGTTAGATACAGAGAAACTGGTTATTGCCAAACTGTGTGAACGTCGATTAGCTGAATGAGACAAAGCCAGAGTCCTTCTCCCCTCAGCGTTCAGGCAGCCTCTCACTGCAGATTCAGGCCAAGCCAAAGCAATAACTAACACTAATTAATGCAGAGTTCCGTCTTTCTGAAGCTGAGTCCCAGTTTTAAGAGTCCCTAAAGAGGTCAGAGGTCAGAGATTAAATTCCCAAACACAAACACCTGCAAATATTATCTGCATGTCATCCAAATCTTGTGGAAACAGGAAAAAAAGCCAAAGTATTTCACAAACCTATCGGCAGGGAAACCACACAGAAAGATGCAGACACGCATACTTTCTGGTTTTAATCCAGAATATCTCCAAGGACGAATCCATAAAGCAGAGATGCACGCCATTATATTCCAAACTGTAAAGAGCATATTCCCATTCAGTAATCCACATGTGCAACAGAATTATTCCACGATAGGGATGAGGAAAACGTGGCATCTCACAGTCCCAAACAATCCTAAATAGCTTCTGAAATTACAAAAATAAAAAGGAATATCCGACTTCGGCTGCTCCGTGCATCACGCCATCGCCCGCTCCTCTGCAGACTGTGTGGCTGATCAATATCTGGTATTACACTCTGTTCCCCCGCCAACCTCAGAAATCACACAGACAAATAAAAGATTTGAAAAGAAATCCAAATGTGGCTTCGTCCCGGAATTAAAAATGAAAACTTCAGGGTCACTGGAAAGATAAAAAATTCAAAGCACCGGTGACCTGATGAACCCGGCAGATGATCCGCTCAGTCCCCGTCCTTGACCGGCTGAATACCAACGCTCCAGCTGAGCTCCAGAGAGAAGCCGACCTAACCAGCTGTGGTTTTATCAAGAAAACTTCCTTCAAGTCGTCTTTCTGTGAAAGTCAAAACTCCACAGCTCTTACACGCTGGCTGCTCTGTCGCACAGGAAGTTCAAATCTAGATCTCAACTCGCTTCTCTTCACAGACGCTTTGTCATTTCTCCTGCTTGAAAATTAAACCTTCAAACTTCACTCATTTTCTACCTTCAGCTTCTTCATTGATCTCAGTCTGACTCTTCTCTGAAGACAAGCAGCTCACCTCCGACTGACAGCTGCTAGCTCCGCCCATCTGTGGGCTGTCCCTCTAAAACAGGAAGCTGAGGGCGATAAAACCAATCACACCCAGCGTTTACAACATCTTCTTCCCCTCACTGGGTGGTCAGAGCGCTTCTGATCAAAATCCAATTCAGCCGTGAAAATACTTTCAAGTACAGCTGCAATTACTTATTATGTTGAATTCATGTAATTATCAATTTAGAGCCAGAGGTGACTTCCAGTTCCTCCGTTTCATAAAGTGTGAAGTGAAATCACAATTTGAGTGACAGATTTTAAAGCAGTGATGAGCACGATACTCGTGACTGTACGTAGTTATTTAAGTTAGTTAACTTATTCAATGTGTAAATGTTTATCTTATGTGTTTCTTGGGGTATTGTTGTCCTCTGGAACCGTTTCATGCTGCTGTCTTGGCCAGGTCCCTTACAAAAGATCAAAGATGGGTTAAATAAAAATAAATAAAAAGTGAAAAGAATCTCTGGCCTGTTGGTCGGACAAAACTGGCGAAACTGTGACGGATATTTTTTTTATCCCAAATTATTATTCACTTAATAGAGAAAATCAAAAAGTTAGTTTCAACTACTTCACACCATTTTGGCCAAAACCCAAAGACATTCCACCAAATACTATCACAGAAAAATCACAAAACCTCACTAATTAAAGTGAACTTCCAAATGTTTGGCATTTTCACTTCACTAATCACTTTAGGATTATCCAGAAAGTTTCCTTTATATTTTCTGCTGATCATCTAATTGATTCATCGACTAATCATTTAGGTTCCACAGGTTCTGAGAGTACCACCTTTGAGACTTTTGAGGACACAGGTACAACAGAGGGGAACAGAACACAAACATGGTGATCAGATTCTGACATTTAAAACTAATTTGTTTTTTATTCTGTACTGTGCAAATCCAATCCACTTTATTTCTATAGCACATTTTACAAACACAAAGTTACCAAAGTGCTGCACAGAAGACTCAAACATACAAAACAATTAATATAAAATTTTGTAAAAACAAAATAAGAACATCAGGTTTAAATACTAAAATACAGTAAAACAATAAAAGACATCAGAGGACCACACAACTCACGCGGAGTTAAAGCCAAAGAATAAAAATGTGTCTTTAGACGAGACTTAAAACACTCAACTGTAGGAGCTGTTCGGACATGGAGGGGCAGAGCGTTCCAGAGTTTAGGTCCAACCACAGAAAAGGCCCTGTCCCCCTGAGTTTTAAGTCTTGTTTTGGGGACCGCAAACTGGAGCTGGCCCTCTGACCTCAGTGACCGCGCTGGCGTATAAATTTGGATGAGGTCCGAGATATATGTTGGGGCCGGTCCATTCACAGCTTTAAAAACAAACAATAAAAATCTTAAAATCAATCCTAAAACGAACAGGAAGCCAGTGCAATGAGGCAAGAACTGGAGTTATATGAGCGCACTTTTTGGTTCCTGTTAAAAGACGTGCTGCAGAATTTTGGACTAACTGTAAGCGTGAAAGTGCTTGTGATTTATACCGATATAAAGTGCATTACAGTAGTCTAAACGAGAAGAAATAAAAGCATGTGTAGCTTGTTGAAAACTGTTAAAAGACAAAAACGATTTAACTTTGGCTAAAAGGCGAAGATGATAAAAACTAGATTTCACAACCGCATTTATTCGTTTATCAAATTTAAAATCACTATTTTGACCCCAAGGTTAGTTACAACAGGATGCAAGTCATTGAGGGGCCTCAAGTCTAACACTTACAGCCACAACTCCCAGTCTGTCGCCGCCACCGCCGCCTTTAACTCCCGTGTTCCATTCAGTAACAGTCCCAGCTCGTCATTGGTCCATGCTAAATAAAATCTGTTGAGGTTCTTCCTCTGCGTTACTTTATTCTCTCGCCAACCTTCTGTAACTACGGAACAGACCATCTGCTTCCTGTTTACACCGGCACGCGCACGCCCAGTGTACCTGAACGGCCACTAGATGTGCGTTTTCAGTCGGAGATCAACTCTGATACGCAGCTAAGAACGCTGCTGTGGACGGAGATCATACTCGTTTTAAAACTCCGTTTGTAAACTGACACGGAGTAGTGTAACCCACAGATCTCAATTTAGACTGTTTTCATTGTCAACTAGCATGACAACTAAGGTTTATTTTAATTTACTTAATTGATCATCAAATTAGTTGTCAACAAATTTTTACACTCAAAGAAAATGATGGCCACAATGCGAATGTGTCAAGAAAAGCTGTGAATCACAACTAGAATGGATTTCAAAATGACATTTTTTGTTGTTTGCCTGATAAATTATTTGACAAATCATTTCAGAACTTTTTGCACACTCTTAAAAAATACACTGAACAAAATTAGAAACGCAACACTTTTGTTTTCTCAAATATTGTTCACAATCTGTGTTAAGCCTCGAATATACTCAGGAGTGGACACAGACAGCTGCGGACTACTTCTGTTTATACTACTTTCTGTAGTCAGCTGGCGGACATGTTCCACACATGCGCAGTAGATCGGTTGGTGCCCTGGTAGCGCTGGCCGCCCAAAAAATGGGAGGCATGGGCTGGTGTGGTTACACGTGGTCTGCGATTGTGAGGCAGCAGCAGCTCTGGTGGACATTCCTGCAGTCAGCATGCCAACTGCACGCTCCCTCAAAACCTGCGACATCTGTGGCGTCGCACTGTGTGATGGAACTGCACATTTTTGAGAGGCCTTTTATTGTGGCCAGCCTAAGGCAGACCTGTGCAGTACCCATGCAGCATCTTGATTATCTCTGCAAAGGAGAAGTGCTCACTAACACAGATTTTGACAGATTTGTGAACAATATTTGAGAGAAATAGGCCTTTTGTGTACATAGAGAAAGTCTTAGATCTTTGAGTTCAGCTCATGATGAATGGGGGCAAAAACAAAAGTGTTGCGTTTCTAATTTTGTTCAGTGTATTTTTTAAGAGTGTGCAAAAAGTTCTGAAATGATTTGTCAAATAATTTATCAGGCAAACAACAAAAATGTCATTTTGAAATCCATTCTAGTAGTGATTCACGGCTTTTCTTGCAACATTCGCATTGTGGCCATCATTTTCTTTGAGTATAACTAATTTGATGATCAATTAAGTAAATTAAAATAAACCTTAGTTGCCATGCTAGTTCACAATGAAAACTCACGAGATCTGTGTGGATCTCATGCATTTATAATTTTGTTCAGTGTATATATTTGAACCTGACTTAAGTTTGTGCACATCTGCATTTACTCTGCTATCTGTTTCATGATCCGTTCCAGATTAACTCTTAGGAGTCTTGTGCTATTTTAACATAGCTTTTAAATACTTTTGATGTTGCCTTTATATAGCCTACCACATTAAAACATGTTTGCTCAATTTAGCATATTGAAAAGGTGCAAATGTAAACTTGGAAATATGAATATAAAAAGGTAAAATTTACATATCACACTGTGACCTGATCACTCCGGCGTGATTGAAGACTCCAGGGGGTTAAAGAACGTGGTGAGTATGCAGTCAGTGAGGGCTGCTCCCGTTTGCTTTATTATAATCACAAGTTGTGGCTTCACATCAAGGTCACAACCATGAAGAGTCGACTGAATTGCAGCAATGAATGATGGCGTGACGGTCGAGCCATTAACTGACCTGCAGTGACACCTTTGTTTGCAGAAATTCAAGGTCTCAGAACCAGCATGTTTTGAAGTGAGACAGCACGACATTAGTCCACAATAATTTGACTGATGGGTCGTTCTCTGTAACTGCTGCTTTTAAGAATAAAATTATATCCTGTTTTTGATCTCAAAGTTTCGACACTCACCGAATAAGTAGACCATGCCGACTGCACCGCCAAGTCCCATGAGTCCCGCCAGCCGCAGCACCATCTTCTTAGCGTAAGCGGTGTTCTCCTTCTGCTTCTTGTCCTCTGCCTGTTCTCCCTCCCTCTCGCCTTCACCTCCTTCAGGAGGAGGCTGCCCGTGGAAAAGAATTTGACCATCATTAATGTCTTTAACAGCAGTACATGTACTTTACAGTAAAGCTGGTCATGGGCTTTAGTCTGAACTAACAGGTTTACCTGATTACAGTGATGTCAGGTTCAATCAGATCAGACTTAACTAATGATGAGTTTCATTAAGGCTCGTGCAGACTACACGACTTTCAGCGTCAGCCGATAGCCGTGCCGTTCACGCTACACAACTTGCCGTCTTGTGACGGGATCTTGAAGTGGTTGTGGCGTGACCGTCAAATCGGGCTCTAAATGGTGTAGTGTGAACGAGGCTTTAGAGGTAAATCTCTCTCTCTGTTATTCTACCTTTAGTCTATAAAATGTGGAAACATACAGCGTGTAACAGATATAATCAAAATGTTCTTTATTTATACTATAATTAACAGTCAAATATCTGTAAGTTTAAATAGGTGCATGTAACTAGAGAACGTCTGGTATTTTGACTTGCTGAATTTATTATAAAGTAGTTCAGCCAAATTAACATGAGGCACAACTCTTAGGACATCCTGTCCTCAGTTTGGCTTCTTGGCAACTTCATCAGGATATCTAGGGTTGTTTCAGGGTTTCTTATCCATAAGTTACGTTACTTATAGATCACCTTAGATCCTAATATACAACATTATAATCTTTTTTTTTTTAAAACCACAAGACAATACTTTCAGTGGAGACAGGAACTTACAAGAGAAATACACAGTAAATTATCCTGAATACAACACACATAATATTACAGCCAACTTTCCAAGATATTTAATCTCGGAAACGTGTATCTCAATTGAGAAATTTAAGAGCGTCATAAAGAATGTGGTGAAGGAGGCATGTGGTTGTTTTTCTTGAGAGGGATTAAATCGGTTTGAGCAATTTATTAAGAAATAAAAACTTTTGATTCGACCTTATTAAATGTGAATATTTCCAGGTTTCTTTCCTCCTCTGTGACAGTAAACTGAATGTCTTGGGTTGTGAACCAACATTGACATTTGATTGACATCATCTTGGGCTTTGGCACTGACAAGCTATTTTTTAGACCACACAACTAATCAACTGTTATATATAAAATAATTGTTAGTTGCAGCCCGATTACTGGCTAGTGTTAAATATACATATTTATACTGTAGAGAAGAATGCAGCTGAATGACAAACTGTACCCCACCCTCCCTTAAACACCAGTCACGCTCTGAAATCTACAGCAGAACCCAAAGAATGTTTCTGCTTTATTCACTAATAAAACCTCCATCTAAAACAACATGTCACTGGCTGAGATAATATGCATAATAGACATTGTACTCTGCAGGAATTATGGAATTTTCTTTGTTTTTATTTCGGCATTATATATCCTGCTCTCAAAAATATAAATTGACCAATAGTAAAAAGTTTATCCATCCAAGTTTATCCATTACGGCAAAAATCATAATCACGAGTATTTTGGTCGAAATTAAAATCACGATTAATAACAAATCATAAATTAATAACACGACTACTGATTGACTTAGGAAACATCATGCATTTATTGAACTTTTGTAAATGCTCCGTATTTGTATAGCGACTTTCTAGTCTTTTCGGCCACAGCCGCCCCTATTAAAATTGAATGCTTCCTTTTTTTAAATGATCATGCATTATCCAAAACAGCCCATGAAATAGGAAAAATTTATCTAATATTTCAAACTTAAAACAGCATCTAAGAGCCAAGAGGAAGAAGCAACGCTGTATGTGGTGAAATATCTGAGTTGACAACACCTCGTTACGTTACAGTGAAATTCAACAGCAGGTTTCCGTCGGGAGACGCCGTTACTTTTAACCAACGGTAACGAAAGTATAAAAGTAATAATAAAGTAATACGTTAGAAGACTGGGACTCGGTGGATATTTGACAAGCACGGAGCAGGTAAAGTAAGGCTTGACACACAGGTTTGGTATAAGCATAAATAACATGTAAATTGTAAAGCTATGAGTAGATGAAAAGTCAGCTAGGCTAATTTAGGGATGTAAAGGAAAAGGTGCGCTGGATTTATAACAGGCCTACAAGACAGAACGAGTGTCACTGAAAAACAGCGTTTGCCCAATAATGGATAAATTTAATTCAAAGAACTTATTTTTAGGATCCTTGGAAGCTAAAAGAGAAATCCTGATTAAATTTTGCTTAATTGCACAGCCCCGGTTTAACCTCCGATTTTCAAATAGAAAGCAATTCTGTCCCATTTCAACTTTAGTTTTCAAAAGACAGTTCAAATATCTCTTTGTCTTTCTTGGATCCCACAATCTCACTTCACATCCATCCATTAATCACATTTCCAGTGGTACAAAATAAATTCCTGTTCCTTAAGGATACAGTGGAAAAACACCCTGTGCAGCTGTTTGAATGCTTGATCTCTGATGGACCTAGTATTTTTCTGCCAGTCCACTAATCCAGTGGTTCTCTCCAGGAACCTTGAGGGGGTTCCGGGGGTCCCCAGCGGAAAGGTGAATCATTAATTTCCATCCATAAGTAACACAATGACAGAATGTCAACAGACTATTTTGGTCATTGGTTTCAATACACTTTGTTATGAAACATCTAAAACCCTACCAGATGGGGGTCCGTGGTCTTATTTGTGTGATTTTGGGAGTCCTTGACAGGACACCACTGCACTAATCAGTTGCTAAAATCCTTTACAAATGGAGCTCTTCAAGTTAAAAGCCACATGGACCCTGGTGTCATTTTGTTATGGAACAGGAATATCTGGGCGAGTGTTGCTGTCAGTGGCATTTAGCTTCAGTCTCCAAGTAAAAGAGTAGTTTACTTTAAATAAAAACACTGTTTTAGCAACATGTCAGTCACATGTGGAGTTTGTGTGCTACAGATTTCAGTTTTGACTGAAGGCGTGGAGGGGAGGACAGGGAGTGGAGGGGAGGACAGGGAGTGGAGGGGCGGGGGTCTGTTCTGACCTTCAAACCAAACAAACCTTGGCTGTTAACACTACTTATCTGAAAAGGCTCGTGCAGATAAAATAAGCTTCGTGAGACACAGTTAGTCCAGACTGTGTGTCTGTGAGGAGCCGATATACAAGAAGGATCCTCAGCAGAAACAGTGAGCCAGAGATGAGGTTAGATGCTACATGCTAACCGTCATCCTAGCTAGCCCAGAGAAAGACGGCACACACACATTAATTGACTGTTTTGCTGGAGAATTTACCGACTGGGCTCAGGTAGCGACTGTTACACTAATGTGTCTCCTACGGGCGTTTAGAGAGACAGTCAACCTGCCAGTCCCAGTATGCTAACATTAGCCAGCTAGCCTGTTAGCTACCTAGCCTAATCTCAGGTTCATTCATTCAGCAGACCGCGCGGAGCTCAAGTCTTAAAACGTGTCAAAAGCTGACATTTGTCGTGACACATGACACACGACAAATAATCAATACGGCCTGACATGTCGTGTCCGACGGTTAAAATGTTTAGTTGAAAGCTAACTTAACCTCAGTTTGCTAATGTCAGAAAAGTGGCTTCGATTTGTCTAACACGGGCGGCTCGTGTGGGCGGGCTCTTACGTCCCACACGGTCTCCCCGCCAACACTGCTGCCTGCTGAGCCAAATCGAGCGCACCTAAGCAGGCTAGCTGCCTCACCTGGCTCTGCTGCTGCTGCTGCTGGAGCCTCTCCTGGAGGATAGCCTGAGCCAGTCCGCCCGTCGCGCTGCCCGTTCCGGCCGGCGGCTTGTCCGTGGACAGTGTCCGGATGATGTCCACCACAGCCTGGGAAGAGGCACCGGCCGCCCCGCTGCTGAGCCTCAGGAGGCCGCGGCTCGCCCGGACACACATGGGGAACACACACGAAGCCGACATGTTGGATAGGAGCGCTAGCGGCCGGTGAACGTCTGTGAAAAGGACAAAAGCACCTGATTGGCTCGGGCCGCGTTCAATGGCAGGCCAGGGGCGCTCTCATTGGCGGGAGGCCACATGGAGCTGGAGGAGGGCGGGCAGAAGAGCGTCTCGTCCAATCAGAAGCAAGAGTGAGTCTGACCTTCGATTGTTGCATAAAACTGCCATGATGATTAATGGCAATGCCCAAAGTTTGGCCCAATAAATGACCTGTAGGCTAAACGTCAGAACAAAACCAGTGTATTCCAAAGTATTCCAAGGTATTTGACTCTACTGTTTGTTTATTTACTTAACCAGATGATCTCATTGGCAAGGCAAGTTTATTTGTACAGCACATTTCAACAACAAGGTAACTTTACATAAGACATAAAAGCAACTGGGAATAAAAAAGTTTAAAAGCAACATAGGGAAATTGAAAAAATACACATTAAAATATAATAAAAGTTAGAGAGCTGTGTACAATCAGGGTTAAAACCTCTTTTTCAAGAGAAATCTGGCCCAAACTGCAGCATTTTGACAGAGCACAGCTTCAGATATGGACCACAGACACACTCACAACAACCAAAGGACATTCGACACAGACGCTTCAGATACACAAATAAAGCGTATAACTTAAAGACCACTGAAAAGTACAATTTCTACATAGGTTTAAAGGATTGAAATTTACTTATATAGTGCTAAAAACAATTTTCAGGAAGATAAATATTAAAGGGTAACTTCTGTATTTAGAAACCTGGGCCCTATTTTTATTTAATTATTAATTTTTGGTGTCAAAATGACTAGCAGTTACAAAACGTTTTGGAATTCATACAGTAGAACGATCATTTTAACATACAGTCAGTCATTCGACCAATTGTTCATATAAAAATATTGATTACAGCTGTTTAAAGTTATGGAAATATTATGATTATGGCAAATCACTGTTTAGTTATGGTTAAGGTTGCAACTAAAACTCTTGTTTATGGTTAGGGAAAGAATGTGTTCTGCCAGAAGCACTTGACAGGATGCAAACTCCAAGTTCGGCCTTGCTACATAAAGATCTTCTTCCTGCAGAGGTGCTGAACGTCAGGTCAGGAATCATCCACTCTCTCACACACTCACTCATTGTCAAAGGTGTCATTTACACTGGGGACACTGGGGACACTGGGGACACTGGGGACACGTCCCCAGCCCTTTTTGAAATGGCTGATTTTGTCCCCATCACTTTTTGAAAGCATTTGTTAAAAATGTTCTGAAATATAGCTTGCAACAATAAATGTTAAGTAATAAATGGAAATGCTTTAAGAAGGGTTTATTTTCACAATAAGAAAACATGCAATGCAATGTAAATATCGAAGAAACAAATGTGTATTGTCCAAAAAAACTAACTTAAGCTAAAAAAAACAAGCTGATGATTACTGCATTATATTCTATTCTATTTATTTATTTTGTTTTGTCACCTGCAACCAGAGTTTCCTTTTATATAAATACATTTTCACCATAAATTGATGCAGAATTTCTCCAGAATGCTGGAAATTGAGTGTTTATTGCTCAAAATCTCCCGGGGAAGGACCCCTAGATCCCATAGACATATATTTCAGCAGTGAATATTTCTTCTTGTCTTGTTCTCGTGGTCTCAATATTGTGTAGCGTCACATCCTTAATCTGAGCCGTTCCATCCCCATCACTTTTCAACACAAAGTAACGCCCTTGCTCATCGTCAACCGCTTATCCTCTGAACAGGGTGGGCTGGAGCCAAGTCCCATGGACCCGGACAGGTCACCAGTCCATCACGGGGCAGGGATCATCCAAAACATAATTAATAGGGAGACTGGACTGCAAGACGTCATGGTCAACAAGTTCTCACATTTCATATTCAATATGAGTCATAAAAGAACCTAAAGTTGATGGTTGGTAGAACAGGAGATCTTGACCACTGTCTCTTTTCTGCCCAAGCATCCACCCTGACTTCTCCCCTGAGATGTTTTGCGTTAGGATCACCATATTTGTCAGCTTTCTACATTGAGCTTATTCATCACTGTGGTATCCCTGTTTAACCAGAGGACTTCTCTCTTGTCTGAAATGGGACACCTTTGGCTGTCATTTCACTTTCACTTACGTGTATGTTGGAGAGATTTGTTGGGAAAAACTTTGGCTATCGCGGTACAAGCGGTTTTTTTCCACCAACAAAGTTAAAAAGATTTCTTTTAAAATGCTTCACAAGTTTAACCCAAATAACCATCACCTGCAAAAACTGAAAAAGATGTTGAATTATGTTTTGTAGAGAGTTAAACGCTGGAACATTTACTTTGGAGCTGACCAATGTTATTTTATTTTTTTACTTTCTGGCGCTGTATTCCAATATTAAGGAAAATATTCTTTCCATATCTAAGTGTACATGTTTGGTTATTTTTTCTTTTTGAAAACCCCTTGACCTCCCTGGCTCAGTTGTGTTTGTAGACTCAATAGATGGACAGAAGTTGTTGTTTACCTGCTGTCTATCCTGGTTTATGAATAAAGATTGTTTAAAAAAAAAACATCGCAAGACTTCCTCTTTGCTTCTCACTGTCGTAATTCACAAAACCACAAGAGGTCACGTGACAGAAAACAGACTTATCGCTGGAGCAGATTGGACGATTCTGGAAACCCAGCAGATTACATTCATTTGCAACAAGAGTGAACATTAAGTGTAAGTCTGTGGTGAGATGCAAAGATTAAAGCTGAGGACATTTTCCACCCCTCCACACCCTTACCGTCTGCCGTGATACATAAAGGACTCGCAGCTTTCTGCACTAAATTAATCGTGAGGTGCAGATCAATCCAGTACAAATAGAAATAGTGATGAGAGGGCCTATAGGAGGGAAGTGGAAGATCTGTCCATATGGTCTGATGATAACAGCCGCTTTCTAAATGTCAATAACACAAATGAAATCATCGCTGCCTTCAGGAAGATAAGGGGAACAAACGTTCCTATTTCCATCAATGAGTCACCTGTCAATGTTTTAGATTTCTTGGCACCCTCAAATGGTATCTCAACACCAACTGCATCCTCAAGAAGGCACAGCAGAGACTTTCTGAGACGCCTTAAACGTTTTGGCATGAGTACCAAGACTCTTGTGAACTTCCATCACTGTGCCACACAGAGTTTTCTGACCGGCTCCATCACTCTGTGGTTTGTCAACCTTGACTACTCAGGACCGCAGACCGTTACAAAGGACAGTAAAGACAGCAGGAAAAATAATTGGCACAGAATATATATTCTATCTGCCGCAGAAAGAAAGTCCCCCACATCATTAAGGACACCAGCCACCCTGCTCCTCAAATCCAAGAAGCGTTACCGGAGCATCACACCACCCGACTCAGTAACAGCTTCTTTCTACAGGCAGCCAGGTTGCTGAACACTGTATTGCATATTGTGCACTTGTATTATTTATTGTGTATTGTACTGTATATTGTATATATTATATAAGTATTTAAAACCTGTTGGGGACTGCCAGCTATTTGCCCCTATTTCCAGGAAAAACACCTAAAATAACCCAAAATGAATCAGGAATATCTCCTCAACCATTAGGCCTAGATGCATAATTCTGGTTTTCTCTGAAAGGTCAGAAGCTAAGGAATATAAATCCATTGTACATGAACATATTTATTTTACCATTAATGCAATAGACCGTCAAAACCATCATAAGATAGATTCTAATGCAACTGAATATATTTTCATACACCTGAAATGCAATTGTAACTGCAAATTTGATGAAAATAAAGTAAAGTACAACAGTTATCATACAAAATCATGCCTGAGTACCGAGGGCATCGGTGTTCAACAGGTTTTAATGTTATTGTGTACATGGTGTAAAATTAGGGCAGGGTAAGCCAGAGCTCAAGCATTTCACTGCACTCTTATACACATGATGATAATGTTGAACCTTGAAATGTCACTTGTAGAGATCGTCTGCAGGAAAACAGAGCTTGTTGACCAATGCTGTTGTTTTTCTGGTGAAGACAGCTTGTCCTCTCCATCACCGCTGCTTTTGTCCACCCTGTGTTACTTTTAGGATCCATCAGGGGAGACCAGAGTCCCCTGAACCCAGCTGTGTGTCCATGAAGAGTCTGGAAAGAAGTAAGCTGCTACTGAGTCAGAGTAAGTGGAATCTCAGGTGCTGTAGTTAAGCACTTGTACTTGCACATATTTCATCTTACTTTGTGCTTCTACTTTACCACATTTCAGAGGGAAATCTTATACTTTTTACTGCACATTTCTTTGATAACTAAAGTTACGAGTTGGCTTTTCTGATTAAGATCTTCTCCCCAGCTCTACACACTACAAGAGCAAAATGCTGCTTCCACATTAATGCATCAGTAACAATACGTCACTGGTTTACTTTTGAGGTATTTGGGTACCTGCTGACAAGCTTAGCAAACATGCTGTATTTGAGGACAAAAATGCAGACACAGCTATATTTTAAAGGATAATTCTAGTTTATGATAACTTGGGTCATATTTTTGGAATGTTTTAAACAAAATTTAAACCTTTTAATGATTTCCAAACATATTTTACTTTTGTGGCTTGCAAACATACGTAACATAAGGGTGGTCTACAGTCTGCTGATACAACACGAAGCCTCTTTTTTCAATGTGATCTTTTTTTGACATTTACCAAATTTGGTGATGGATAGATGGTAAGAGTGATGCTGTAGTTTGTTAGTTGGACTGATCTTTGTTAGACTTTTTAATTCTTGTAATTGTTGAATCGTGTTGCTCTGATCATAATCTACAGGTGCAATGCATGGACTTCTCTCTTCATACTGTGTATATAAAGTGGCGAACTGAACGTCATAGTCTGCAATATTTCATATACAGAATATAACAAAATAAACCTTTCTTTTGCACAAATAACAAACTTTATTTCACCGGGAAAAAAAACAAATAGTTAAAACCAAGCTAAAACATTGCTCCCATGACATCAGTTGCACTATATGTAAAAGTAAACACAACAGCATAATTAATAATAATAATAATCCTTATTTGTAGAGTACT